CCCCAACCCTACATCCACCTCCACCTCTACCCCACCAAACCTAACCCAACACCAACCCCAACCCAACCCCACCCAACCCAACCCAACTCTAACCCAACTCTCACTCCAACCTCATCCAATCCAACCCAACTCAACTCAACCTAACCCAACCAAACCCTAACCCCAACCTCAACCCCAACCTCACCTCCACCTCCACCTCCACCCCTACCACAAACCTCAACCAACAAAGCCGACCCAAACCAAGTCGAGGCAAGCCAAGCTTACTTAAACTGAAAGAAACCTCGACGAGTCAAATCGAGTTAAGTGGAGTCATGCTGAGAAGAGTCGAGCAAAACCAAGTTGAACCAAGCCGAACCAAACCAAACCGAATTAAGACGAGAGGAGTCAAGTCGTCCCAATCTGATTCGATCCAAACCGAACCGAACTAAACAATACCGAACTTAACCCAACTAAATCGAACCGAACCGAGGTAAACTAAGTGAACCAAATCGAATCAACTAAATCGAACTGAGCCTAGCCGAGCTGAGCCAAAATGAACCAAACCAAGTCCAGCCGAGCCAATTCGAACCGAATCGCACCGAGACTAGCCAAGCTGAGCCAAAATGAACCAAACCAAGTACAGCCGAGCTAATTCGAACCGAATCGCACCGAGACTAGTCAAGTCGAGCTGGACTGCACCAAGACTAGCCAAGCTACGCCGATTCGATTCGAGCCATGTCGACCCAAGTCGAGCCGAACCATCCTGAGCCGAAACAAACCGACTGAAGACAAATCGAACAAACTAAACTGAGCCCAGCCGAAACAAACCGAACTAAACCAAGCCAATTATAATAAATGTTACATAATTTTATAGTATTAAATACTTTTTGTAATCATAACAAAATTGCAAAGACCCATAATGATGGTATTTTTCGTTATTATAATACTAAAATTAATTCATATAAAATGAAACCATTGTCATAATCTAATTAAACACTAAATTTTAATTCATTTTAAAATATAAAAAGATCTGTATTTAGATATAGAAGGGAAGGACAAAATATGACTATAAAACCAGAATCATGATACATATTTGCAAAAAAAACCAAAACAAAACATTTGAATTTCTATTTCATTATAGCTTGTTTTTCAAAAATCAACCCATGAATTTATCCCATTTTTTTTCAAATAAAACTATACCAAACACTAATCCTTGTTTTAATCATACGGATCCAAGTATTGGGTTAATTCCGTCTCAGAATGAGTCAAACCTCCTCTCCAAAGTATCTGCAAAATTAAGAAAAAAAAAGAGCATCCATTCTGTCAAACCAATGCAGAGAATTCTTAACAGTTTAAAATAAAGATAACAAAATAATCATTATCACAATAATCTTCCATGCATGAGAAATATACATACATACATACATACATACATATATATATATATATATATATATATATATATAATTTGATGTAGTCAAACACATCATACAAATACTGCAGAAAGATTTACTAACCAGTACACGACTGCAAAAGATTCATTGTATAAGCTATCTTATTTCACTTTGCTTATGAGACAAAAATAATAATAGAACATTCTTTTAAGAAAATAAAATTTAAGCTTAACCCAATTTTATAGAATCTGTTTATAAGGTGAGGTTCACATTCTTGCTTATATATTTTGATTTAGTTATGTCTCTGACAGACATGTTGATTTTTGAAAAACAAACTGTGAATGTCAAATTTATAAACAAGATGGGTAAATATCAAAATTAGTTTGCCAAATTTTCATTGCATCAAAATCCAAGTTTTCATATGTTATAAAGGTGATAGGCTTCTACTATTAATCATAAAAATACCATACTAATGATGAAAACAAAACACCAAACACATCTAATCTACGTATTACATTGACTAAGAATTTTTCAGCTTAATTGGTAGTTAAGTTCAAACAAAAACAAGAGGTAGGAAAGAATACAATTCTGATAAAGTCTTGAGAGAGTTCAATAAGAGGTAGGAGAAAAATACAATTCTGATAAACTCTCAAATATAAATGCTACAAATTGCATGCAAATGACAGAATTACAAGGACAAAATCATGCACAAATATTCAACATTGATGTATTTTTAAATTTTAAAAAAATATTAATAACCTCCTCCATTACACCCCATTAACAATACTAACTAAAAATAAGGACTAGCAGAAAGTCCTCGGTTTTTGTTAATAACTTCACCAGTATCTAAAATCTCATCCAGACAGCTGAGTTTCTCTTGTTTCTCATAACTCATGGGTATGAACATGTCCAAGAATAAGAATTTTGGCCTGGGTTCAGGTTCAGGTTCAGGTTAAAAGAATTGCCATATGAACCAAGACATGATGAGTCTTCTTGATGCAACAAAATGCTAACAATGAACTAAAGCCCCAAAATTATCACAAGCAGTGACAGTTAGAGTTTGAAACATGAAAAGTATTGTAATCACTGGTTCATAGAGGGTGTTATTAGGCAGGTGTTACAGCAACTGATGAAAAGGGAGACTAACTGGGTGGAGAAAGAAAGCATTGGGGGTTTAGGAAAATTAATATATATTCTCTACTCCTTTTTATCTTAGCCACCAAACACACATTCCAAAGAGGAGATAACAATGCAAACAAATAGCAAGGAGCATATTCAATAGCTCAACAAACTTTTGAATATGCTAAAAGCCTATAAAAATCAGTGAATGGCGACATATACAAAAATTAAAGGCAAATGAATATACTTGTTATCTAAAAGTTTTCAAGTCATGGAACAACTAGTGAGCAAAATGTAAGACTAGGTGGAAAATTTTAGTGTTATGCACTGATTAGAAATGTCAACCAACCATTGAACCAAGTTCTTTTATTTTATTTTAGACAGATATATGATGAACTATGACAAACAAATTTAGGAATATAATTAGTATTATTGTAACAAAGAGAGAACAAAATATCAGTGAATGAGTAGGATTCATGAATACCTTCTAAACAGCCACAATCTCAAAGTCTGCATGCTGAGAACAATTGCGGAAGTAGGCAGTTATATGGTCAAGGTTGTTGATGAAGATTTTATATGTTGATCCCACTCCAAAGTTCAATGACTTCAATTTACTAGGAGGTAAACGTTCTGGCTTTAACAGGGCTGCAGTTCCACAAGTAACCTGAA